TATAACGACTTCACAAATAGATGATGCGAAATACTCGGCAAACATATATTTTTTACTTCCAATTACTTTCGCGTGATCTCGCTCTTAACACATCATTTTGTATCTTCCCTTTTATGGTCATTCCATATGACGTCATATTTCCGTCTCCTCACATGAACACCCATTTAAAACGTTTCTATGCCCTAAAATACGCGTCGCAATAGACTTTTTGTTGTCAAACCCATAAAGAACACGGCTTAACTGCCAAGATTCACTTTAAGTACGACATTCAACCTTATCTGCAAACACATAAAGGTTAGGTTGTTAACACGAGATAATGTTTACTATTCCTGTTCGAGGTTTATGGGGGCTGGCGCGATTTATGTCTGCGCTAAAGGCAAAGTACTGATGAAAAGGTCTGGAAGCTAAATTTAGTCCGTAATAGATTGAATCCCTGTACTTGATTAAGTTACAAGATGTGGTGTTTTCTAAGGCTTTGCTTGACAAGACACGACTTAATGAAACGAATGAAATGAAACAGACCTTTTCAGAATATATTTCTTTTGGCGACGGAGAAGCAAACAATCAGGGTACACAATTTACTGTTCAAATTAGATATACGATGAATTGTGATTGGGACCTATTTTTTCAGACTATTAGAACATAATAACTAAGTAATATTAGCTTTTTGGCCTAATCTAAACATAGAATGAAAACGGAATATTCATAAAAACACAAAAAACGCTCACGAGATATTGAACAGTCATCTTCATCAAAACTTTAAAACAATAAAAGTTTGCCTTACAGATGCTAACAAGATTACTCTTAATAACAGATTCAAAACAAACAATTACTAACAACAAGAAACATCAAACTACACAAAGGTGCGAGTCAAACAACAACAGTTAAAAACTAAACTAAAAACTTTAAACAGTTAAACAACTTCACAAGTTGTTCTAAATTGCGTGTTGAACAAAATTTTCACAAAACACCAGAGAACAAAGACTGTTGCTCTGTAACTTCAAACTATTTATAAGGCTAAGGACACACGGCGCGATCTTCTCTCGCGTCCGCCGCGGTAGCGGAATGCAGGCGAAATTTTCAAATTTTCAATTTACTGCGGTTCTATAGCCGCCGCGGTTGCGATTATCACCCGCAAACTTGCCGGTTAATTATCGCAAGACCGTCAGACGGTTAAACAATTAGTTGAGTTCCAAACCAGACGTCTCAAAAGTCACTCCCCGACACTTTATACCTGGTACACACTCAGGCAGAGAAGGAATCCCTTAAGAACCAGGGATTTTTTTTTTTTTTAAGGGGGGAAAATCATCGAATGACTGCCCCCGCCTGGGTGAGGCGGGAGGGAGTGTCAGACTCTTACTGACTAAAAACCACCCCGTTCCTTCTCCTGCACGTCGAGCCGGAGCCCCGGTTACCCGTTAGGTTCTCCGCGACTCCGAATCGGCATCGGCCCTATTGGGCCCCATCTGTGGTGGTCTGATGGCTCTTTGAGGCGCGCGCGGAACGCGACGCGCCGTACGCTCGGGTCTGTTTCTGGTCGGACGGGGAGCCACCCATGCTCGCCGTCCGCAGGCCCGCGCTTACGGTGGCCGGAGATCGTCCCGCGATCCCCGACGCCCGGTGTGTCCTTCGCGATGGCTGGGTTGCGAGAAACAAAGAAACATCAAATACATGACAGCGTACCACACGCGGTAGTAGCAATATCGCGTCACACGCATGGTTGCATCTATTACACAGACAACAGTGAAGACGCGATAAGCAAACTAATCAGGAAGGCGGCTGATGAGGGTGAGCAAGGTATTAAGGACTACAACCTGAAAATGGCCATCAAACACAGGGACGCGGCAGTCGTGGGTGCTCTCTTGGGCGGGGAGTGTTGCTTGTGATGGAACGAATGCAACATGAGGAAATGTGTGTGCAGAAACATGTAGAAATAGAATATGACCAATTGAATTTTGGACTATTGTACGCTTTATTGGAATCGGCCCATGTGGCAAGGGTTGAGGCGTCATGCACACATAAATGTCCTACAGTCGGTGGCGCTGTGTGTTGGGTTGTTCCGTTCCCAATAAAAAGGTTGACCGGACCAATTGCTGACACACACGTCATACTCGTGAACGGGTGCCTTCTGCTGGGTCAGGTCGGCTCTCCCATCGTGTTGGTGGGCTGGTTTCATAAAGCCTTTGAAATAGAAATAAATAAATAGTGCCTAATTGTTATGTAACCTATACTTTTGCTAATAATTATAGATGTAGTTAATTGTAGTATGTAACTAGGTTCCCTCTTTACTTTATAAATATTGACTAGATGTATTATAATTAAAAAACTGTATGACAAAGGCACGGACCTAGAGTCCGTGGAGAAATAATCTTTAATATTATAAAAAAAAAAAAAAAAAAAACCAGACGTCTCATTGCAATCGCCCGTTAACCGGTCGCAGAGCCCGCGGGTGCTAGCCGCCGCGGCTACAGTGGGTGCTAGTCGCCGCGGCTACAGCGGGTGCTAGCCGCTGCAGCTGCAGCGGGAACCGCAAACATTCGGACCGCCGTCGTCATAAAACGCGCCGTGAAAATCGCTTTGATTTTTTACGTACATATCTATATTCTACAAAGGCTGGCCCGCAACCGCGGTGGCTGCGGGAGAAAATCGCGCCGTGTGTCCTTAGCCTAAGACTAAAGTAAAAGACCTGATACTTTCTTCAAGATAATGCTGTCACACTTTGTTTGAAGTACTATTGCGTAAACCTGGATAAAAATAGAACTTCGTATGGCTTCGAATGAAAACTAAACATTGCTAATCAAGGCACTGTATTCATAGGATGTACTAACAATTATGTATATAGTGGAATTCTTTGCCAGACTCTGTATTCCCAAAGAGTGTGGTGTCTTCAAGGCCCGAGTGAATAGGTTGCTTATGGGTCGACATGCTCCATCGTAGACCGCATCATCGCTTAGGCGAGATAGAGGTCAAACATCGACCCATCAAATATAAAAAAAGAGACTTGAAACGACGGTATATGGAATTTATCGAGATGCAGAACCACTAAGTAACAATTATCGCTTAATTAAAACATGTTTATTGCATCGCATCGCTCCTGTTCACATGGTCACGAAGGACCTACTGGTACATATTAGCCGTCACAGTATTGTCCTCGCAACCGCGAAGGTTTGTTGAAACAACCCCGTAAATGTCCCTGCCCGACCCTTGCTCGTGTCAACTGAAGCTTAAAAGACGTTTAGACTCTAATACTCTGATAGAAATGGCCATTATTGTTCCCTTCGCCATTCCATAAGCTGAGGTTTGTTATCCCATGGTATTACATAGGTTTGAGGTTACATACTCAAAGATATTGGGACGAAAATAGCGTTATTATTATGTAGGCTTTAATTCATCATTAGGCAGAAATAGACAATCACATATTCCAATTTAGGGATGTACTTATTCTAACGTTGCCCGACACTAGAATATAGTCACAGAGACGATTTTATAACCAACAAGTAATCGTACAAAACATTGAACACACACACACAACATCACGCCTTTTTATCTCCAAAGAGGTAGGCAGAGGTGCACATAACGGCACTTAACTCGTCGAGTACCGTCAATATAGACACAATTATAGAACAATAGGTTGCGGTCACCGGTGACCGCTTGGTGTTTGACAGTTTAATGCCACTGTATGTACAATATAACACCCACTTTTCACTATTTATGTTATACGTCCCATGTAATAGGGGGTGTGCCTTTTGCAATATACCGGGCACAATTCCAGACTCCGTGCTACTACTGAGAATTTTTTTTTTAATTCCAGCAGTACAGTTCAGTCGCACTTGCGACCACTCGGCCAACGAGGCAGTCGTAGGTATTTTAACATTAAAGACGTAGGTATTATAACATTTCTCATTTACTTATCTTTTCTCATTTCTCAAACCTGCGACTAACGCAGACTTTCCAATCTTGGTTGCCTGGCAACGCAAATTTATTACAATACAAGACACCATCCTCCGAGACATTTCAAAAGCTTATTACTTTTTATTTTTGCCTTTGATAAAGAAACTCATTCAACCCCTAGCTGTCGTCGAAGATATTATCGTATTGGAGTTCTGTAGTCATATGGAGGAGATAAGCATCATTTTATGAAGGATTTAATGTCCACATACCAAGCTGTTCTATTTCTTTTGTAGATGTCATAAAACCCAAACATATTTGGGAGTATTCCCAGAAGGGGTAGAGCAAAGAAAGAGAATGAACTGTATTTGATTTTTTTGCTACAAATGTTATTATTTTGCAGGAAGTAGAACATGTAAGAATAAATTCTATAATATGACAGCTCAACTGGTAATTATTTAGTTATTTGGCAGTGTATTTGTGATACAATAGCGTAGATGACTAATTTTTATTTTAATGTCCGTCTGGAAGATTATTTCAAAACATTAGACACGTATTTTTTTTACGGAAACGAATAGTTTCGAAGATACATATATTGATTTGGAATGTCGCGTAACGTCACTTCTATGTACATTTTATTCGTAGAAATGACGTCTTAGCCCCCACTCCTAAACTTTAATTCGTTATATCTAAGTATCATTTTATTATAATACAACAAAATACAAAAATACGTGTCTAATATTTTTCATTACCTAACTGACGGACTAATTACATTTTTAATTTTCATACCCTGTCATCATCCCTATTGTTTTCAGAATACTTTTTATCGATTAAGCACATTGGTATTTTATTTTTCAACGAGGTCGGTATACTAGATCATAGCTAATCGGAGGCGTGCTTTCTGAACAAGAACCTTCGGATTGAAAGCCATCATAAAACCCTTTTTTCTCCAAATCCTTAATAGAACTCAAATAATCAACGACTTGTATAACTTTGCTTCTATTGGAGAAATGTGAACTATGGAATGTAACACATGAGACAAAACTAACCCACACTTCACGGTAACAAGACATTGTAGTAAAGAATATCCTCATTAACCACTAGATACTCACGCTGTCAATCAACTGCTGCTTCTCTTGTAGTTGTAACTCCTGATGACGTAACGTAGCTCTTTGCTTCTCCGCAGTGCTGCTCAGCCGAGACAGGACTTCTTGGTCGTGTTCCCGAGCTGGTGATGGCGGTGCGCTTGAACCTGAGGGTAAATATCACCTTTTAGTACATCGCAGGGTTAAAATAAAACGGCTTAAGAAAAAAAAGAATCAAAAGTATCAGATTGTTATAAGAGAGATTGGGTCTATACTCAATGTCAATAGACTGAAATTGAGTATAGACCCAATCTCTCTTATTCAGTCTATAATATGTCTAGTAATATTTCAGTCTATTGACATTGAGTATAGACCCAATCTACCAGTAAAAGTCTTTAAAAATGGGAATTTTACATATACATATGTATATACAAAAGAAAAATCGAGCACAAACATGGTCTGTAGTCACGTTACTGTTTCTATACCGCGGGACGATCTCCGGCCACCGTAAGCGCGGGCCTGCGGATGGCGAGCATGGGTGGCTCCCAGACCGACCAGAAACAGACCCGAGCGTACGGCGCGTTGCGTTCCGTGCGCCTCAAAGGGCCATCAGACCACCACAGATGGGGCCCAATAAGGCCGATGCCGATTCGGAGTCGCGGAGAACCTAACGTGTAACCGGGGCTCCGGCTCGACGTGCAGGAGAAGGAACGGGGTGGTTTTTAGTCAGTAAGAGTCTGACACTCCCTCCCGCCTCACCCAGACGGGAGCAGGCATTCGATGATATTCCTCCCTTAAAAAAAAACTGTTTCTATACAAATCCTATTGCATATTTATACATATTATAATGCCATTAAGGTTTAAAATAAAGCAACAGAACAATTGTTTTGTCTATTTACAGACGTAACATGTCCCCACTATCTTGAGTTGTTCTCAATTGATTGTTTAGACCGCACAGTGGGACTTAGCATTGTTTTATTACTTAGGTTAATCAAATATATTATTTTTAATATAGGCTCTAAGCTTAACCGATGCAATTATTAAAACGTTACTGTTTTCAATTTCCAAAAAGAGCAACCTTTATTCTTATTGGACCATATAGAACACTATACTTCCGCGCGGTTTCACACGCTCTTCTCAGCTCCTATTCGTCGTAGCGTGATGTTCTATAGCCTATAGCCATCCTCGATAAATGCGCTATCCAACACAAAAGAATTATTCAAATCAGACTTGTAGTTACGGAGATTAACGCGTTCAAACAAACAAACAAACAAAACACAAACTCTTCCGCTTTATATAATAGTCTAAGACTAATAGATTTACATTAGAGACACTATTGGCTGAGAACTTAATATTTCGCCTATTTTTAACCGATGTCAAACACAAAAAGGGAGGTTCTGTTTGACCTGTATTTATGTGTTTGTGCGCGGTTATCTCGCGATGGATTAACTCGATTTTGATGGGGTTTTCAGACAGTGTCCGTAGCACTTGGTAGAAGGTTTTAGTACTTATTAATTAAGCGACTTCGAAAAAAGAGGGGGGCCATGTCGGTTCTTTTAAACGTAGTTTATAACATAGATAATATTTAGTACCATCACATATATGTATAATTTTGTTCATATTACGTCAAGGTGCTCTTAGAAAGACTGTAATGAGCATTTATCCCTAAATCATAATTAATTTTATAGGACAGTGTAATAACATGGGACCAAAAGAAAAATAAGTTCAAAATGGAAGACTATACTAACTACCATGTAAGAAACAAAATATTCGAATAACTCTTCGACTTTACCTAAGGACTTAACCAAACACAACCTTCATCTACTCGGTAATCGAAAACCGATGATAGTTTTTACCTAGAACAGTCGTAATCAAATATACGACCCACTTTCAATGATAGGCCTCAAATACCCGCACATTGGCAACTAAAGACAGTGACGTATTGGTAATTACAGCAGCCACTCAAACGGAACAGCATTGTTATATAGCAATAGAAAATGAACTTTACCAATATGTAGTAACATTGACTTTCCATTGTTAGAGTTTGTGTAGGTTGTATCATTTTGGAAATGGCCTCATTGATCTTGCGGTCGAAACGCGAATTCGTTCTAAGGTAATAGGTAGGTGCAGGCACCTAAATTAACAAAAATTGGCATGCTGAATGCTATCACTTTCTATTACAGATTACTAATATTTAAAAAGAACTGGACTGGGCAGAAGCCCGATACGTAGGCACAGAGGACTTGACGAATTGCCGAGGCTCCGATTCAAACAGCATGGTGCGAACTGGTGGTTTTTAGTTAGATACAGTCTGACACTCCCTTTAGCTTCACCAAAGGCGGGAGAAGTCATTGTCATCAGTCATGATCCCCCTCCCCCCCAAATGGTTTGGCCTGGTTGAAAAAGTTTGTGTACTTAAACACCTACCTATATTGTACAAGACTTTATATTAAGTGATGAATCATTTAACATAACCATAAGTAATTTTAATGAATAAGACACCGCATGATGTCATTTATTGAAACGGAAAGGTGACTTAGAGAATGGAACAAATAAATATTGACGTAGGTATTATTTATTTGCTTAGTGTGGCATCAAGATCAAAACTAGTTTGGTTTGGTATTGGGAATGATATGAAAGAAAAAAGTGTGTGAGAAGATTGCCTCAAGTAACCAAGTGGCCTCACATATTCAACACATAGCTAGACAGAAAATAAATCCATTTTCGACAACTATATTATAAAGTGTGGGAGAGCCATGCTTCGGCACAAATGGGCCGGCTCGACCGGAGCGATACCACGGCCTTATAGAAAACCGACGTGAAGCAACGCTTGCGTTGTGTTTCGTTGTGTGAGTGAGGTTACCGGGGAGGCCCAATTACCCTCCCCTTCCCCACTCTCCCCAATCCCTGAATCCCCAACGATCCTCAAACTCCTAATCCCCAAAAGCCTGGCAACGCACTTGTAACGCCTCTGGTGTTCCAGGTGTCCATGGGCGACGCCGATTTCTTACCATCAGGTGATACATCTGCTCGTTTACCGGCTTATGTCATAAACAAAAATAAACTACAATCTTAGGATTAAGACTTGAAATACCAAACAGTAGGTTAATTCCTACCAACTGAATGAGAAACGAAATGAAAATACAGTTACTAACTATCGAATTGTACGCTTCTATCGAGGACTTAAGAAAATTGAATTCTTTAAAAGGTTTCAGAAAAAAATTTCAGTGGTAGCACGGAGTCTTGAAATGTGCCTGGTATACGGCAATAGGCTCACCCCCTATTACATGGGACTCAAACATAAATAGTGAAAGGTGGATGTTACATTGTATAGTGGCATTAAGTGCCGTAATGTGTACGTCTGCCTACCCCTTTGCGGATAAAGGGCGTGATGTTGTTATGTTATGTTTCACATTTACCATCTCGAAAAATATCAAAAGCATACATTTCAACCACAATTTCAATGTTAATAGACTCATTTCCAAAATTACTTCTCCAACACCTCCCTATCTCGTCAGGAAGCAACAGGCATATGTAAATTTCATATCTTCTGGCAAAGGAAGCCTTAATAAATGATGCCACATACGGAACACGACCTAAAGTGGAAATTGTATGGAGCAAGTCTGTAAGAACCATTGTTACTCTCGGTTCAAATGCGATAACATCTAGTTTGGAAACTGTTTACAAAACTGTGACTTAAGCGTTTTGTAATTTACGTCATCTTGATATTACTTTTCATAAGGTCAGAAGGTTAATTTTACATTGTAATGCGATTAACAATATTGTAATAAGAGCTATTTTCACATGAGTATAATGTAATTGAGGATTAGTGGTGGTAGTACATTCCTCTTCATTACGTGTTGAAGCATTATAGGCGTTATGTATTAAACTAGCGACCCGCCCCGGCTTCGCACGGGTGCAATATGCATGTATTATACATACAAACCTTCCTTAAGAATCACTCTATCTATTAAAAAAAACCGCATCAAAATCCGTTGCGTAGTTTTAAAGATCTAAGCATACATACGGACATACAGTGAAAGCGACTTTGTTTTATACTATGTATTGATGATAAATTATGAATTTCAGTTAACAGTTGTTGGTATCTCTATAATGAAGTTGTGGTTGGTATTGGGTGACTGAATATCTGTAACATTGGATGAGTAACCAATTTGGGGACGTAGTAGCATTTTTGGTTTGTCAATTTAGGCAACCAAGACTAAGGGATTTATATCTCAGAGACACGGAGAAATCGTGACATATTAATAGTAGCCCTACACAAAATAAGCTTGCGCAGTAAACCAACTGACTATTGCTAGGTTATTGTGTAACTGTCAATTGAATTTTCGAAGTGTTTTCGATCGAATTCTCGCCCGTCATTGGTCGAGATTATTCTCACAGCAAATAACATGGCGGATTGCGATCGAGTTCACTTCGATCTTCGAATTCAAAGTTACAAAATAGCCTTGTAATGTAACTTAAAAAAATATTACTATGTACTCATTAAGTGATTTTATCTGAGTTATCCAGAAACATGGTACAATGAAATTCTCATCCCACTACAAATACCACAAAGCATGCGACCGGGAATTCTTGAAGCCTACACGTGGCGCCTCCCTCAAGAATTTGAAGCATGATTTAATCAAGCAAGCCACAGAACCCCTCAAATAAAACGTTACGACAAAGAAATTGCAACTTTAGCGAAAGAAGAAATTCTGCAGGAAATATTTCAATTGAACCATTTGCCTTTAACGTTCAAATTCCATTGAGAATCGTCAGCAAGACTGTTCAAACAAATTCTTAGAAAGAATAAGATGTTCTTTGCTCGTGTTAGATATTCCAAGAATGAAGAAAACTATTTCGTTGTGAGAGAAAATTGTAATCTAGATAGATACATTGTTTCAGAAAATGGGTACATAGTTGTGGACCTGATATAATAACTGACAATAACATAAAAGAAAAAAGTTCATCTGGACACTACAAAAATAAAGAACTGTGTCAAAAACAGTACATGGAGTCAGTTCTTATATAAAATTAGACCCTGGTAGGTATGTCGTATTACGAGCTTCGTTTTGACTCCGAGATGAAGCTTGGAGTCCTCAAGGGAAATACTGACTTGAACCCGGACAACATAATCACAACCACACAAGGATACAACACATTGCCT